GGCTCTTCCTTGGTAAGGAGTGATGGCGGAGGAGCCTTCATTGGTACTCCAGGTGGCGCTGCGATAGGCGCCGGAGCTTCTTTTGCCGCCTCTGCCGCCGGCAGCGCTGCTTCGGCTAGCTGCTCAGTGGCCGCCGGCTGCGTATCCATGGCTGGCGCGTTTTCCATGGTCCGAGTGTGTCGCCGAAAAGAATGAACTGAGAAGAAGGATATACCAAGAAAAAGGCACAAGAAAGCAAACGCAAACCTCCAAAGCGGGGGCTGCTACGCTACACCTTGAGCCTACACTACCTGAGTAGTGCAGGAATTTAACTTCAAAGTGTCAAAAGACACGTGCAAATGATGAGAATAGCCGTCATTCTAATGAGGGTAACCGTCATTCTAATGAGGTAACCGTCATTCTAATGAGGGTAACCGTCAGTCTAATGAGGGTAACCGTCATTCTGATGAGGGTAACCGTCATCATTAATTCATCTCATCATCTACTTGCTCCCGCTGGAAAAGATGAAACTCTAAGAGTTTCATAAGGTTCTTGTCTGAGCCATCCACATTGTCACTCAACAACTGATGACAGTTCTCTACACATTCGTCAAAAATTGCTTTGCTGGTAAGCATTGCTTCACCTCAGGGTGTTTCTTCATCAACTTCAGGATTTTGGGGTCGTCCTTTGCAGTGTTTCTGTTGTTCTCCTCCATAAAGGCTTTGACGTCGTCAAGCGGGATGTCTTTCATGAAGCGGTTAAGCGTCACCTTCTCAAGCGCGACGATGTTGGAAGAAAACTTATAGGCATTCTCTATAGTTTTAGTGTCAAGAAGGTCAATCTTCTCCGTGTCCTTCGCCTTCAAGAAATTCTTCTTGACGGGCTTTGTTGGAGCCATTGTTGTAGCACGATGTGAAAGCTTCAGGACAGGGATGCTTTAAGCAAGAAGGCTATGGATAAACAACGGTCGCTCAAGAATGCTTTCACTCAAACAGCAAGATTGAGAGAGGTTGCATACTGATGCAATGGATTTTTTTTCCTGCCGTTCTGTGTGTGTGTGCGTGTGCGATCTCTGTGTCGCAAGCAAGTGCTAAAGGTCTCTCCAAGACCTTGCCAGCAACTGCAATCAAAAGTGTAAGAAGTATGAGACTACTGGTCCTCAAAGATGATTTCCACTTCATCGCCACTGTTGAAGCTGAAGCTCTTCCTGTTCACATAAACCATCTTGCTACCGCCAATGGCGGCTTTTCCTTGAGAAGCAATCTTGTTGCCGTTGTGAAAGAGGCTCGCCTTTGCAAAGATAGTTTTCTTGAACAAGAACTGGCGTCGCACCTCGTCCAAGAAGTCCTTGTATGTAGAAATGCCATTAGCGATGAAGGTCTTCACGGTATTGTTGAACTTCAGGTTCAAGGTGATGCCCTCATCGTCGTCAGCGTCGTCGGGAACCAACTCATCGATCACTTCGTTTTCCATCATCATTTGCACGATAGCTTTGCGGTTCCTACTCTTCAGCTCCACGAGCTCGTCAGGGTTCATCTCGGTCAATGCATGGATTGCAGCTTCTGAGAGAACGTTCGTATCGTCCCGAGGATGACGAAAGAGGAAGATTTTCTTCTGCTTCACTGCTGTTGCCTCCGATGAGTCAGCGTTGTATCCCGACATGGCAAGGAAAGTTGAGACTTTCTGAATGCTTCTGATTTGAACCTGAAATCGCTATAATGAATGTCGCACCTTCTGCATCAATCAATCAGAATGCAGCAGAAGTCATCAAGATTTTATGTGGATGCAAAAGCGTGGAAAGCGCACCATTATGGAGAACTCCTCGTTGATGTTGTTATGTTGTAGATGCTAGCAGCCCACCGATTGCTACAGCACCGCCTCAGGAAAGTATCCAAAGGGTACAACAAGAAAGCACAACCCCTAAGGCACCCACCAGAAGAAGGACTACCCTAGGGGGACAGGAACTAAAACCGCAGGGCCTAGACAAGAGGAGACCCACGGCAGGCAGAGGCACGATCATCGCGATCACTGGTTGAGCTGGAGGCGCTCCAGCAAAGACATTACAAAAGGAAAGGGAACTAAACCCAAGGGCCAAGAGGGAAGGCAACCATAATCTGCAAGAAAAATTAGGCAAAACGTGTAAATCTCGCCTCCTTGACGCTGCAAGGGTCCAAGAGGACCACACACTGAACACCACTACACTCGCTGCATCATGTAGCTCGGTCGCGTGTTAAACCTAAGAGTCCAAACATGTGTCTGCACTTGAGCCATCCAAGCAATGACCTTATCACCATGCTCACCGGCACCGACCTCCGGCCAGCCAAGCCGTCTTTGCAGGCGCCGCCGGGGCACTGATGGCGCCTCCACCGGGCGGCCTAAACACGTCCAGCACATGTGGTCCCAACTGGCCGCTGCGGCCTGGCACCATGGGCACTGTGCTGCTTGCACTTGTTGGCCATGCATGCGATCGTGCATGGCAGGCGACACCTGTGAGCCCAAGACTACAGTCGCTCTGGCAGGGTCTTGACGCATCCAGTGCCGCATGCGTTGAAGGTCCGTCTGCCTAAACTCCAAAACCAGCTGGCGCTTGCAACGAGCTGACAGAGGTGGCAGCTCAGCGCCTATCTGCGCACCTCGCCCGCTAGGGGTGCCTAACTCTTTCACATCATGCCTGTTCGTGCCGATGAGCTTTTGGAAGGCCCATTCTCTCCAACCGCACCTAACCGCATGTGCAACTCGCTTAACAGAATTGCCCCGTCCCAGCCTCAAAGGTCCGGAAGGGTGCGTCCATGACCAAAGTCCTGCTTCCGTCCATCCTCTGTTACGGAGCCACTTCCGCAAGGTGTACGCGACAGTGCCGTATCCACCATTCCACGGGGGCGCCGCAGCTGGATTGAGCATCCATCTCTGCGCGTTGCAAGCCAGCTTCGTGCCAGAGATGCAATCCAGATGCGTCGTTCCACCATACACAGCTGCACGAGACCACTTGCTGGCCCCCTTAGCGGTGTCCATGGCGCGCCGCACAGTAGCCGCAAGCCCATGCGTGTCCTGCAAGGTAGGCAGCCTCGCTATCCAGCCATAGGCTGCTTTGCTGACGGCCAGAGCTCGGCAGTTCTGCAGCTTATCTTCGGCCGGAATGGGCAGCAAGCCTACAGCCGCCGCCACCTCCTTGCTATCTTTAATCCGATCACACTCAGCAACCGTGTTTTCACGAGGCCCATTAGCAGTGTGGCAGCCTAAAATCTCTACTTGATCCTGAAACCGAGCACACAAGTCTGGCTCGGTGTTCCGCAAGAACTCAAGAAGAACAGCCTTACGACGAGCACCTGAGGCAGTGAGCTGCACTTTGCCGTCGTTTTCACACAAATTAACACTGTCACACCACCGTCTCCAGAGATCTACTTGACGCAGCAAGCCGGTAGCAGTATTAGAAACCAGAGTTCTATCATCCATGTAGATACGTTGATCCGCCGCTTCCTGCGGTTGCGCCTGCGCGGCTTGCCTATCAACCTCATACGCGCCGGCGCTCATCCACGCCTGAAGCGCCAACGGCGCCGCTGGGCACCCTTGAGGAACAGCAGCGCCTGCAGGGAGCTGCTGTGCTCCAACATGGTTGGCCCATTTCATCCATCTGAGCTGTGAGCCCCAGACAGTTCCGAGCAGCCTTGCCCAGTCGGGGGGCCACCCCATGTGTACCAGCAGCTGCGTGCTAGCATGAGGAGACATCCTATCATAAGCTTGGGACAGATCCCTGGTAGCCAAGAAACCTTTGCGGCGCAATGCTTCGCAGGCTTCGGCAGCAGTGAGTTCTGTGCCCGTGCGGCCTTTGATACCTCTCACTGCAGGATGGAAAGCTTGACAACACCAATCCTCGTTGATGTAGAGGTTGATGTTCTCGACGACTTCAACACAAAACCCTTCACAAACATTCATAATAAAATTTATTATGAATGTTTGAAAAACCGCTAGAACCTCAAACGTCCCAGAAACCTAGGAATTATGATAATCCCTGAAAATGATGATGAAATAATGAATGAGAGGGCTACATGTGATGAAAGAGAGGAATAAAAGTACTAAAATTTTAGGATTTTATGGTTAAACCCTAGAACCAACCCCGATAAAACGCATGAGGGGGAGATAATTATGAAGAATGAAGAAGATGATGATGATGATGATGATGAAAATGATGCGTGAAAATGTGTAATGAAAAATGAAGATGATGATAGGTTGACCCCAGCGCCTGACGGCGGAAACCCTACAACCAACCTTTTGGGGATTTTTTAGGGGGAGGGGAGGAGAGGAGGGGGAGGGGAGGGTAGGGGAGGGGACGAGGGAGGGGAAGGGCAGGAGGGGATGAGGGGAGGGGACAAGGTTCTGCTAAATGAATGCTTTAGAACGGCCAGGTTCCTTGACGACAGCATTCTTCCACCGTACAGTGTGACACGACAGGACGAGGCGAGGGGAGCAGGGCAGGGAGGGGAGGGGGGAGGGGGGAGGGGGGCAAAAGTAGTAGGGGAGAGGAAGAGAAGAGAAGTGCACTACTTTCTAGCGTGCTTCCTGTGGTAAGACGCCCGAGCGGCGCCAGCGTCACCATAACGGACCTCATCACCTTGCAGTCACAAAGCTCCCATTGAAGGCTCGCGCAAAGTAATTCCAAGCCCACTCCCATCTTTCAGGAGATACAGAATGCTCAGGGCTGCGCAGGGAAAATTGCTTTGTGACCGATTCGTGGGTAGAATCGGGTCAGGGGAAGCAGCATCAAAATGCGACAGACAGAGCCCCCCAAATCAAAAGAACCTCGGGACACAGCGAGGCAAGCACTTGGACCAGGGCATCAATGCACAAGATCAATCCATTCCAAATTCCGAGCTTCCGAACATGAAGGTGCTGTCGGCCGAGTCCGGATGAAGTCCTTGGGTTCAGAGTTGCGGTCCCAAGTCTTGAGCCGAAGTGTCTCCAGCAAGCATACAGCCAAAAAAGCAGCACGAACCTTGATATCATTGATGCAGTCACTATGCAAGCTCAATGCTCCCAAGACTCGCTCTATGCCAGCCAGCGTTGCGTTGAACATGCTGTCTGGAAGAAGTTTCCGGCCATTGAATCTCAATACCCTGGCTTCTTTGAAAGCCATTGGAATCTGATGCAATGGAACCTCGGTACAGACATCAGGAAATCCGGCACGGCAATGCATACCCAGAAGGATACTTGGGTCAGGCTGCAAACTCCGGCAGTTCTGCCTTCTCTTTGAGTGTACCATTCGTAACACTTGCGATGACCTGCTGCTTCCATCGGCCGCTTCGTCCCTCGGCACCGTGAACAAGCCGGTTCACATCTCAGGAGTGACCTCACTCTTTCCAAGCCGCGTCGATCTCCCAATCTGTCAGCTCCTGCCCGCATTGCTGCGCTGCTACTAAGCGGTGCAGGATGTGCGCAGCACATTAATCGTTTGCTGGCCGCCACGAAGTTCCACGGCAGCACAGCATGCAGGTAACAGTCCTTGCGATGACGGCCGGAAGACCGCATCTCACGGAGCAGCTGCTGCGCCTAAAGACGAAGAAGTGACAGAATAGTACACACTTCTACGACATTAAGCAAAATCAAAGGACAGGCTCTTCAAAGCCTCGAAGCTCAAGTTATCAAAGACTTCTCGGCAGACCTCTGGACTGGAAGTCTTGCTTGAAAAATGCTGCTGCCCTTCCATGCCATGCGATGCCCTGCACTATCCCACACCTCGTTCCATGCGTCGAGGTTCCTCTGCGAAGCGACGGTATGGGCCAGCCTGACGGTCAGCATGCGTGTGAGGGTAGCCGGCTTCTTCTCGCTTCCGCTAAGCGACTCCGTATCCATGAAATAGGCGGCAGCTTCACCTTATCTTTGACCAGGGCTCATGGGCCGCATGATGCCGCATGCCAGCATCTCAGAAATCCGAGTCACAAAGCTCCTCCACTTCGCTCAAGTTCATCTGCCGGTCTGCCAATGCTAGTGCTAAGAAGAGCGCCAGCACGGCACCAAGCCTAAGCTAGGTGGCAGTTGAATCGGCCAACAGGTCCAAAGAGCTCTGGGGGCAATCTAGCAAGTCAGAGAGAACCACCTCCGTGCCGAAATTTTAAACCGTAAGCCGCTCCGACGTGATAAATATTACCAAGCGTAGAAAGTTTCAAACTCAATCTAACGTGCGAAGTTTCCCAACGTGTGGGCGTCAGGCTTTCTGCAACATTCCACTCATGATCTATTGAAGGTTGTGCCCGATCAACCCTGTCAGTCCAACAGCCTAACAAAAGTGAAACACACTGCAGTCGCTATGCGCAGCCTGTGGCACAAGTCTTCTGTGATGCAGGCTGGAGAACGATGGAGGCTGAAAGGCCGCATGTGACAGAACATCGCGCATGCTGTAACTGCCTTTGCGCTCTACTTCCTTCTTACCGATCGTCGTCCCTGACGAGCAGTTGCTGTCGTGGGATGAAGGTCACTACGATCCCCTATCGTTTTGGACACTTTCGATTCCATGTTGGATTGTTTTGCGGTCTATTCAGGAAAGAACCTAAACCGCAAAGCATCCGTTGGTCTCACGAATAAGCTGCAGAGTTTTGCAACAATTTGTTGAACATGGTGATCGGGATGCACAGCATGGCCGCTGCCAACCGACCATGCTCGCAAATGGCATTTTCCATAAGCAAAAAACAAAACCTGCCGCAAAGCGCAACAAATCTCTGTATACAACCTGGGAAAGCTGTGCTTCATTTCCTCAAACAGTTCGATCACTGCTGTCGTTATGCATGCTGTGTCTGCATGCGAGCCCATGCAGATTGCCTCTACTTCTCAGCTGGCTGCAGCTTCCTTTGGCCCAGTGTGTGCAACTTTGCTGATTTGAGCCGCGTGTCTTTCTGTGATTTCTGGAGGACTGTCATTCCTCTTGTCAACGGTTACTGTGGCCAGGCCCAGGCGCACCGCTTCACGGAGGGATTCAAAAGCTGCTTCAACAGATTTCAAAAGGCTTTCCACTTGAGGAGGCTCTCCTGTGCAAAAAGCTTGGGAGCTTCACTGCCATACTGCCTTCGCCACATAACGTACGGTAATGCAAAGAGGCCCACACTTGCAACAAGCATTTGCCTGGACACGGCCTTTGAAAGTCAACGCCCCCAAAGAGCAGACTGCATCTGATCTCAGCTGTTGGACCAGTCGGGGGGCGAAACTACTGCCTCGCTGCTATCTGTATCTCTTCGGCGAACTACACAACGAAGTAAAGCGACGTTGCACCTTCTGTGCATTGCGACGAGCCGCACTTGCAAACACTGAGTACAGGCTTTGTGAATCATGTGCAGACTTGACGTCGGGCAGGCAACGATGATCCGATAGCACTGTGCAAATTTAAGAGACAAAGCAGGGGAGTGGTGCACTATGGTGCACTAGAAGACGAGAGGACCGAACGGGAGAACCCTCGGAGATCTTGGGAGCACGGGACACGAAAACCGCATGTCGGGCAATCACTCAATCCTTAAGGTTGATCAAGGTTGCTGGTGCATCTCAGTGAGTTTTGCTGCACATGCCGATAACATACATGCCTACAGTTTAAGCTGCTGGCAAGAGGATGGCTGGCAAAGTGCCGAGTACAAAACAGCATGGGCAGCACAGGAAGCAACAGCACTTGCGACAGCGGCCCATGTCGCATGAGCGGAAAGCTAGAACGTCTCAAGTTAATTCGCAGAATCAAGTCTGCCGGCATTCTGTATTTCGTTGGCGAATTTCCCACATAGGCCCATAGGCTTCAAGTCTTCAAGGCTGCGGACACAACATAGCCAAAGTTAAGCAAATGAGATCTTCGCGATGCGGATTGCAACGGTGCGCCACAAACAGCAATCGGAAACAAAGAGCTTTTCGGCGGCACTGCTGTCCGTGACATACCATTCTCATTGCTGGATAATGTCAAGATTTGCGAACACGAACCTGAAAGCAGCATAATGTTGATTTGATCAAAGCACTCACCATCGCAGCCAGCATAAGTTTCAGGCCCAGCTTGCGAGGTCGCGAAGGGCTTTGCGAGCTTGGAGCAACGGCTGTCCCAGGCCTGGCCACGAGTTGTCTCATCGCAACATATCGACACCACCTGTGGCCTTATATAGATAATGCAAATAAATATGCAAAATCGTGCATGGTCAAACCCGGCGACGAAATGTTTGGCTGGCATCATCTTGCATGCAATGTACCAACCAAACTTGATGCCCCTTCACATCCATGCCTCTTTAAAACTTTAAAGATTGCCAACGAAGTTTTGTTTGAATACAGCACAGACAGTGCTAACTACCTTTTGGTCTATCAGGTAACATCGCAATCGACCCAATCTCATTCTCCAGCTTTCTGTCTCCTGCTTCTTTCTCGCACATGTTTGCTCTTTCTGCCTGTCATTTGATGGCTCTTCTCCAGATAACCTTCCGGCAAAGAGATAACTTTCCGGCAAATAGGAACCTCTTTCCAACTGTCTTGCGCCACTCTCCCGTACGTTGCTGTGCAACACCCGCTCTCGAGCGAACATCATCGCCGATGTTGGATCACTGCCAGCTGGTAGCTGGGTGTGGGAGCCCGACCACTTCCCTCCTCGTACTGATGCCAGCAGTGCCACCTCAGACAGAGGTGATTCCGCAACACGGCAACCTGACATAAAGTGATGAATCACACATCCAAACCTTTCCATGCAATGCAGCGCACATTCGGGGGTAAACTGCGACCTCTGCGTCTGGATGACCTTACGACATGGACACAGAGCTGTGAGTCACACTACACGAACTTGTTTCCGAAGCAACAGAGCCATTCACCGAGCTTTCGTAGGCGCTGCTGAAGAAGGACCTGATATGGCTTGCACCTACGGTGCAAGCGACCTGCACCAGCGAAGAGAGTCGGTGCACGAAGCCGGGCACCAAGCGGATTCGTCCAGAATCAGCTCGAAATCTCCCACCTGCCGCACGTCGCTGACACGGGACCATATGCCCGAACGACGCTTTTGTAAATAACATCTGCACTTGTCCGACCCATGTTCGCAAAAATCGACTCAGCATTCCTGTCTTGCACCTCACGATCTACGATCTGTGACATGTTAGCAAGCCGCAAATCTGCAGAGTAAATGTGCTCAGAAGTGCTCTGGATTTAACATGCAAGCTCAACGGTGGAACACTGTGTGCCGAGAGACTGTAAGCAGCACCCGAAAATAAAATGCACAGACTGACTTTCTCTTCACCCCTCTGTGCCGATTCCCAAGGCTAGTTTCTTGCTGTCCGGAAGCCGGAAAGCAAATCAGGCAGAAACGCCTGCAGCAAGACGGATGGTAAGGACCGCAGGCGCTGAGGCGATGCGAAGAACGGGCTAGCACGCCAGTCGCGACCTCTGCAGCTTTGGCTTCCTTGTCCGTGCACACTCCCTTTTCTGGGGTTCCATGCCGTGAAGCTCCACACCGCCGCCTGTTATGATGTCAGTGCCACTGCATCTAACCACAACTCACAACTCAGTCGGGCGAACGTCCCAAATATCCCTCCGCTTCCTCCCTCCCACTGATACGATCAACACCAGCATTGACGGCATCACCTCAAGGAACAAAACGTCTGTTGTAGGATTCTATGACTTCCACAGTCCACCTGAAAGCGTGTCGGAGCACCACTGGCGAGAATCGTAGCTGGGTGTTGATGCAGTCAAGTCAGCCCATGCAGACAACCTGCCAGCAATAGCTGATACCCATCGCGCAATGTCGAGGTTCATAAGCGGCGTGCCCCAGAACTCCTCGAATGCTTCTGCGAACGGCAGCAGACTGAGAGAGGCAGGCCTCATGACAGGTTGAAGAAGAAACCAGACCAAATGCTGACAAGTACACCGACTCAGTGAATCATGCGGCGAGTCCGGCACTGCCAATGCCAAACCTCCTCCAGCACTGTCTCCACAAACCTGTGCAAAAAGCCATGGACACATATGGATCTGCTGCCTTTCGAAAAGCTTTTGACAATCACCACATGGTGTCCAATCCTACTTCCAGTACCACCCTGGCCTCGTTTTTCTTCGATGCGTCACTTCTGAAAAACCAAGGGGCTGGCAAAAACATCCTTGGCAAGCTTCTTCGTACTTGTGCCACCTGCTGATGACAATTGCTTGGACCACTTGGGAACCAAAGCATCTGTGCGCCGTGTCTGCTACCTGTCGCCACAAAAACAGAAACGGTCATGCGAATCACTGTTTGCGATGCGAAGTTGCCCGGCACTCCGAAAACTTCCCAGAGTCAGGGACATGCGACACCAAAGGTCCAATCCCGGCGACTATTGGCAGTTTTACATCGCGGTGACGATCCCGTCCTCCGAAAACGAGGACTGCCACGAGGATTGTCGCCCCAACACTGTGGACAGCAGTATACCGATGAGACGGTAAGTGCAACCTCGCTCTCAGCGCGACGCCACAGGCCAGGTGGGGACACGAAACAATGCCATCAAAAGGCCCCGTGCGGTGCTCTCCTTGCCAGGTCCTCCTCTACGCTAAGCCGCTAAGCCCGGGCGTCGTACAAAAAGCCTTTGATCAGGGCTGGAAGATGTCCGCAGACCCGTCAGGTCGCCCCTTGCCCAGGGCCCAGAAATTTCGACCTCGATCCCTGTGACTGTCGTAGACAGCGGGGATGGGGGGCCGAGGGGGTGATACCATTGGGAAGTTGAAGGGTAACGGGGTAGCAGCCCGGGGCCCGGAATCACATATAGGTACATACGTACAAGCAATACATGCATGACATGGACTACGTACATGCACTGCATGCATATCCGGAATGCTTCGCTAGCGGGTGCTCAGAAAGGCCTGACCAAGCTGGAGAAGCTCGTGGCTCAGACGTTGGTGGCCCCCACCCCCTGAAATCTGCCGACGTCTCAGGTTCTTGAGCCCCATCCTCGTGAATCATCACCATCGCGACGCGAACTTGTAACTTGTAACTTTGTACTGCGCCGTCTCCTCTGAGAGCGCCTGGTGTGAGCTTCGTTTACGCAAGAGCGAGTACAGCGCAAGCAATCCTCTTCGAAGACCGCCGCGGCAAAACAGCAGCCTGGGTCTGGTTCCACCCGTCCGCACTCGGCGAGAGCACAATGGACCGCAGCATAAGCAACACCTCGCCGATACTGCCCAGCCTGTAGAAGCTCCAAAGCGTAACCGCAGCAAACGTCTTGTCGCCCGACAACCATGCCAGGTTTAGCCAGCAGGGTTAGGATGTATCGATCGCTGCACCAACCGCTCGTTGGAACAGAGCCGTGTCCTCTTGCTCGCGTTTATGGCGGCTTTTCGGGGACCGACCGGTTTCGTGATGCGCACCACATGGACCAAGTGGCATTCACGTGCCACCTACTCGCCACAAGGGGCCAGCGGCTCGGCTTGCTTGGTTTGCCACTCATTTCTCGAGCGCGCAAGTCAAAGCTGTCGGTTGCCTGTCAGCACCGACTGCAGTCAAAAGCTAACTGACTAGGGATTATAATTACGCATGCCCAGTAGAGCGGGGTTTATGGGTGAGCAGTCTCCATCTCTCGCGGTTCTGGCAGAACGGCTGAACCTTGCGGTACAAAGGAGTGCTGTCCATCCGCATTATTTCCGTGGGCTCTTTGAATCTGAAATAGTGTAGGAACGGAGAAAATTCAAAATAAATTCGTTGTATATGTCGGCATGGGAGGGTGGGGCATCGTACTGAGCTGCTTCTGTGAGGCAAGATTCCGCTCAGTGCGTACGTGGCCGACATGGTCGGTTGGGAGAAGAGACATGTGTATAAGCATGGGAGCCCATAAACGTCACTTGGTATTCTAGCGTATCCACATGTTTATACAAATGACCCAAGAGCTGGAGTCTTTGTTGTGACTATCACTGTGACGGGGTGGGAGCTGTCGATTCATCGATTGGAGGCCTGCTGCTGAACCAAATACTGCTGGTATAGCGAATCATACATGGTTTTGTCTATCGGCTGAACTGAGTTCTCTGAAACCAATCCTGAAAGTTGAATCTTGGAGGCTATGGAAGACTCAAGATAGTACTCTAGACGATTGCCACATCAACCTTTGCTACCTCTGTTGCTGGTGGAGTTGGCGCTTGCAGCTCGCCGGTGGCTCCTGGTTCAGTGTTCAGTGTGCGCAGTAGAAGCGGCCGAAAGGGTCGAGGTTGCTTCCATGGCGGACGTGGTCGCTTCCGACATAGACTAAGTTTGACGTACCTCTATAAAAACGCAAACTTTGGAAAAACTTTGAGAGTACTCTGCAACGCTATGAAGATACAGGAAAAGTCTTGACCTAGGTCAGCCTAAGATAGCCTAAGCTAGTGGCGCTATCTGCGAAGTGTCAAAAATAACGCCTGAAAGCGTGTGGCAGTGCTTGCTGTTTGCGCAGAGCCCGTTTGGGCCCACTAAGGGGCTCCCAAGGGCTTGGGATCGCTTGGCTGCTCGAGCCTGGCTTGCCATGCATAGGGCACGCTTCGTCGCGTAGCGTCGCCTATCGCGTCTGATGTTTTGAACTCAAAACGCTCATGGTCCTCTTTGATGATCAGCGCGGTGTAGACTGCACATGACGACAAACACAGAATAAAGGACAACTTGAGAAGACGAGCCCTATTGCGTTTACATGTCGGTTTGCGCACGACCTGCGAGAACGCGACCCGCACGAGGGCAGGCCTCGTGCAAAATTCTCCGCTGGGTTCCCGCATTCCAGGACCGTGCGACGACACCCCCAGGCCTGAGCGCATTTCAGGACCCACACTACCGTCGCGATCCGCGTGCACACGCTTGCGAAAACTTGCGAACGCTGCAGCCTCCCTAACCCCAGACCCGAGCATACCCGAGCCAAAATGTTTCACACAGCGACTTTGGTGCCTCCTTGTAAAATGTTAAAAAAACACCTCAAATCTCGCGTCAAACAAGAAGCTGAAGTCAAACGTTGCATGTCTGAGTCTAAATCTGAGTAGAAGTCTGCATAACGTCAGGCCTGTCTAAGCTCTGTCATGCATGCCAGCACTGCTCCTCATCCCGACGTCGCTGTGCTGCCTCCGTCTTCGGGTGGTCCATGCTGCTGTATCCACTTCAATGCAGCAGATGCATCCTCCAAGCACACAGGCACACATGCGGCACAAGGCCGTCGCAAGACTGCACGCCTCGCCTCAAAAGCCGCCGGAAAGAGGTGCTCTGGCGCGAGTCGGTAGTCAATGGACAGCACGCACAAGCCTGCCAGTGCTACGAGATGCTACGAGATGCTACGAGCGAAAAGCCTTGCCAGAGGTGAAGGACACAAGTGCCTGCTTGTAACCTCACCGACCATATCCGACCATCATAGAAAACTAACGATCCTGGTGCACATCATGCATCATCAGCATCATGCAACCGATATGTTCGACAAGGCAGAGCTCATCCTGAGCTGCTTGGGTTTGTCTGGAAGTTCCCTGCTTGAGCATGCGACTTTGCACATATGGACCATGAACACATAGGTGATCATTGGTTTGTATTCCTGCCGCCTAATGAACTAGGTTGATTTGTGGATGAGCAATGACAGACAAGCGTGCTAATACAAGCCGGCACACCACAGCGAGAGGCTAATCGGGATGCCAGCGAGCGATACACCGCATCCTGCGGAGCATAAACGACATAGCTGCCACCATGAAGGAAAAGCATTCCTGGCCGGGATTTTGAACGACAACAGCTTAACTGAGCTGCTCACAACGGCAAACAGGCAAAGCGAGCTGCGTGTTCCATCTGCTTTTGGTGGTATGTACCTGAAGAAGATGGATCTTGCATGGGCCTGTTAGAAACTCAAACATGAAGCAAGAAGATACAGCTTCCTTGTAGGTCGTGTGCTTTTGACGAGTCACTGTTTCAAAGCTTGAATGCCTTGTGATGCTGAGTGTATATCTTAAGTTTAAGCAAGAACCACTCTGCACTGAGGCACCATTCTGCTGCACCTCGTATCGTCATTCGCCTGCCCTCGCGTCTGAACCATTTTTTTGGGAAGCCCTGGCAGCAGGCGCAGAAAAGAAGAGGTTGCCTCGTTTGCTTCTAGGTACCTCGCTGGAGGGCAGCACCGAGATGATCTGCACACCCTTCGCCATCCTGCGAAGTCCCACTCTCCAGGCACTGCTCTCGAGACTTTTAGAGATGTCTCCTTCGATCCAGCCTATCTCGGCCGGCGGCGCATTGCCTGCGGCAATCAAGCAATCTAGGAAGCTAGGTTTGCGCATAGGCGCTCAAACAACGAAAACACGGGCCTCAAGATGGCGGACTCCAGCTGCCGCTGTGTCAGGCCTTTGCGCTCAATGCAAGAAGAAAGATTGTAGGATGCAGATCTGGCAAACAAGCTCTCGGCGCTTGCCGGAGGCAAGTGCCCTTGATGCTGGTTTCTTCATGCGCTCAAGGCTTGTATACGTCTTCACCCTCAACCTAGTTCAACGATTGAGCTTATTCATGTCCACTACAGCAAGCACCTCCATCCAACAGAAGCCGTGTGCGCTGAACTATCAAGCGCAAGTATATAAACTAGCTGCTCTTCTGCTGTCTGATGGCACTTCCTTGCCCGTTGAGTCGTATCGAGCCTTCGACATCTCAATGAAAATTCCCAACTTGCGAGGGACTTGCCAAAGTTGCAGGCAGAGCGCCGATCTCTCTGCAAAAGCATTTTGCTGTTTTTCTCGCCAGTCTATGTGGAACACATCAGAGCTCAGGTTGGCAGCTAGCCGTATCAAGGCCTTCGGACAAGTAACAGGGTTCTAGTACGCTTTGGCAAAAATAACATGTCCTGTGTGAGTTGTGCAGCCGTGCGCCAATCCTGAGCAACTGCGCTTGTTGGCTTGGTCCAAGCTCATTTCCATCTTGATTCCAGACCCGCACAAAGACACGAATTTACACAGGCAACCGATGCACTGGAACACGCTTGGCTTTTCTTTGCACAATAGCTGAGACAGAAGTTGCAAAATCACCACAAACACCGTCCTGCTGCGATCTACAGATAGCATCATGACACAATGGTCAATCAAAGGGTTGAATCCAAATCATTTTGCAATCGTACTTGATAGGCATGCCACCTGGACACGACACGCTGCCACACCGTCTTCACCGGTAAGATCGCACGGTGTGCCTTCCTTCTGCAGTATTTGCCGGCCGAAATAGCACATCAAGCATATCACGGCCAAGGATATCCTGACGTCCGAGTGAATATATTGAAACATGTGATTGTAACTCTACCCGCTCCGGAAAAAGATCGGGCAGGAGCGCTGGAGCGCTTGATGCCTTCACACTGTGCAGAATCGCTTCGCTCGGAGTCAAGAAAGTTAGGCCGCATGACCGATTCCGAGTACCTTGACTCACTGTAGCACAGAAGGCTCGGCCAAGAACAGCACTGCAGATTGCACTCCATATTTGTAACGTGGCTGGGCCCACATGAACATCCTTCTACTGCAATGAGCAAACCGTCAGAAACCCAGTCTTGCCGCAATGCGATGCCTGGCCAGCAAAGCCTGAATTGGTGCTCTTTTGTGAAAACTTTTGTGTCGCATACGCAAGCGGTAGCCTCGGCGAAAATGCGAAAGTCCGCGCCGCCGGTTGTTTGAAATCCCATTATCCGAGTCGAGCGTACCCAATACAGTTCTACATGAGAACCAGCACAGAACTGCAACATAACGACATAACCTCACACTGACACTCGAGGCAGGACTGGGGCAGGCGCGGGGGTGCGCACCCCCGAAGTGCTCCCCCCTCAGGCAATCGCCCGGTCGGGCGGGTGCCTGCCGGCAGGTCTGTCGGTTATCCAAAAGAGTGGCAAGGGCGGGAAGTCGACTTAAGTTGATCGCTGGTGCTTGTTCCTCCACACAAACACACACTGTGTCTGTGTGCGAGTGCTCCTAAACTTCAGCTCTATCGCATGGTACGGGCATGTCCCGACCAGCCCACGATGACCATTGCCCTCCTCCTGTCCCCTCGCCACAACCGGTTGCACTGTGCGCACAAGCCGCCTATCACCAGGGCCAGATGACCCGGAGGATTGATGCTGCTGCTTGAATGCTCGATTCCATAAACTCTGTCCAGGCGCGACATGGTTATATCCAGGGCTTGGGAACTGCTGCATGTTGCACCAATGTCACATTAGGTGCACAAAGCTGACATCGGGACGGTCTTCTCTTGGAAGCGAGGCTAAAGCCTCGTTCCTTCGCTCCGCTGTCTCTGGGCCAAGTCTCAGTGACATATCGTTCGAAATCGTGCTTCTTGGCGTGTCCCCGACTAACTGGCACCCGACTTGTTAACAGCATGAGCCTACACAGCAACCCGTGGGAGCAAAGAAAATGTAAGCCAGCCCAGCAAACCCGATCAATTCCAACCACCATGCATCCAAGCCTTTTAGGCAGGCAACCCATGCCACCCACTCGCGATGAGGTCGTAAGCTCATAATAGGTTTTCATCTGTGCTTGCAACAATGAAAACCGCACATATGGCAAATGTCTGAATCATTGCTTCAGGCATCATCTGGATGCGAAACTGGTAGTGAATTGGGAACTGGTCCAGCTAGTATTGACACACCGACATGTGCACTCTGTGGCCACCCGAGCTGTGAGCCGAGCTACGTGACATGCCACTAAAGCCCGCTTCTGGCGAACTAAGCAGGACCATGTACGACCCCCAGCTGCTTGCACTGGTCACTCCAACTATCGGTCCGGAACTATCTAGTAGAACCCCTTACAGATCAGGTATCAATGCAGAGACGCTTTTCTACAGCTGCATGACAGTACACAAGTACCCACTCAGACAACAGCCATGCTGATGTCCTGGAGTCGAAAACATGAAAGCTCCATGCTGTAGACACGTGCAGTTGTCACAGTTGTCCTGGGCAGATGCTTCTTCCGCCGATACGAACCGAGTCTGCACAGTCCCTCAGCCGCACAGAGCAACAAACCTGACATGACAACACGTGATGGCCACCAGAGGCGAGTAGCCTTCTTTTTGAAAAGCAAAGAGCAAGCGACCATCTGGCAGCTTGATGCTAGTAGCGGTCTCCACCTCCGCCTGCTCTCATCAAGGACACGAACGGATGTCCATCCCAGTGGTCGGGCAATGCATTCACGGCCTCTGCCCAGCTCACATCCTTGCAAGCAGATATCCGGCCCTCCGAGCTCACACCACAGACCTTTCAGACTGAATTCACCGAGCAAATGCATCGGAAGCATCAAAGTCTTCGGAACCCACCTTTGCAATGCTCTGGGCGCCAGCAGGCTGTATGTAGGTGAACGTACTCGGGGTCGCCGATCCCGCAGGTAGTGACACGGCTCCGACTAAGGAGTTGTAGCCAGTGCTGAGGACCTCTACAGAGACAGTCAAGGACACGTTCAGAGATACACAAAACAGAAGACGAAACCGAAGCATGGCAGAACTGGAAATTGCAGCAAAGCCACAACAGGATCACCAACTGCTTTCATTAAATGCGATACCGGATCAACATGGACCAGCGACATCTTGGTCTTCCTCTCTGACCCGGAATAGTAAGAGTAGGCGAACAAATTCTGAGAGACCAATGCCTCAGTCGGAAATCCAGTGACAATGTGCACCGCAACACCAACTCACGCAAAGCAGACTGTGCGGCGATGTGCGAAAACTGCAAACAGTCCGGACGTGTGCATCCCTGCTTATGACCATTCCGGCGTTTCCAGCTGTTGCAACACAAAGACATGATGAAGCGCTCTTGTGACTTTAGCGACTTAGGGAAGATGCAGTTGACCAGCATGACTTTCAGCTGCGGGGGCACTCGAAGTAAAACTTCGTCGTTGTTCAGTGTCACGGTCTGATCCGGCTACTCCCCGGCAAGGTGGGCAAACATTTCCGCCATGATTTGTTCGCGCAGGCAAGGATGAAAAAAGCTAGGAGAAAAAAGCTAGGACCTAGGACATGCTAGGATGTGCCGGGATGTGGTCTCTGACGATAATGCTTGTCATGCGTTTTTTCCGAAGCGTGCCACTGACCAAAACCTTGCTCGGGTGGCCTGTTTCGATCCGTAGATCTGTGGCCTGCTGCTTGAAAACACTGCCACCAACAGAAGCAAAAGGATGGTTGGAAAGCCCGTGTAGGGGGTTGCAGGCCAAAGAGTTAAACAATCCGGATGGTATTTTGCTGTTGGAAAAGGTGACACGGCAAGAAAAAGGGCCGACTCAGCCGAACGTGCTGGACGACATGCACAGCCTCGATGCCTTGGCTTGGGACGCATCACCAAAGACAAATCGTTTGAAGTGACAGTATCCGCCGGGCTCTTTGACAGTTAGCAGCGCAAGGCTCAAGCCTGGCTCCTGTTCAGAGGAACGCGCTTGTGCAGCACATGTAAGCCCAGGAGTGATGGCAAAACCTACGACCGTGTGTTTAAGATGCTCACGCCGGGCTGTGGCGGGAGCCTGATTGGTAATCCAGAACGCGGGAAGAGTCCTTTGTAATGTGTTTATGGCGAGAGTGACGCAAGAACATTGAAACAGGCAAGGTCTACAACGAGTTGCAGGACACTCACAAGCCGATCCTGACACTCAGGATCTCTGCACTGCTGCTCTAGCTTCAACTGGACAACAGTAACTCGACCTGGATTCCGGCTGCTGTGGACGAAATCCGGTCCCTGCGGAATTCGACTAGTCCTGGTGTGTTAGAAAGCCCCTGGATTAGGTTGACATCATTTGCAGGGTTTTGCTTTCGGGTTGGAAATTCCTGGAAGCATCGATGACCTGCTGATTTCGACTAGCACTGGTAATTCATGTTGGTTTTGATTCAAAGTCGCATAGACTTCTATTATAAGTTATCAGCTACGAACTCCGTGTTGAAATGATTTTTGCATAACAAATTCCAAATGCTTGCAGCAAAATTGGATTATCCATTCGCAGGCTTAGAGACCAAATAGAGGTTGATACAACTCAATGTCGGATGGTCTGTCACGGGTCACAGAAAAACGTCACCAGCGCTGAGGCTGATTTCTAATCACGCACAATCTGCATGCTGGGTCTGCCACAACGTCTCGGTGGTGCATGTCCGGACGATCTGGCTCCAGTGTGAACTGGTGCGGGCTGACAATGAGAAAGTCATCATCCTTTGTGAGATCGGGGGCGTTTCAGTTTGACATGTTATGTGCAGATTTCTTCTTTCACCGGCCAAGCATCGGATATTCCCATCCAAGTGGCAGACAGCTCCTTGCAAGACCACCGCAACACAACGAAGCGAAATCATATATCAACATGCACACAGGGCAACACGACATCAAGACCGAACAACGACATCCAACTATGTCCTTTGATGTGAGACCAATCTCGCGACTGTCTGGGGGCTGCTGACGATAAGCGACCACGAAGGAATCCTGTGACTAAACATTCACCGGGTCTGGGCAAATGTGGGCTAGCCACGAGCACTTACGTGTCTTTGCAAGTCCTCGCTCAGCTTCGTTGTCGCAATGTGAGAGATCGGCGCCTCGCCCTTGATTACAGGTTGGCCATTCTTGGCTCTGCGCAGCAAGGCCAAATTGCAGCAGAGAAGCTCCGAAATGATATTTGCCGAGCAGACTAATTCCACCAGCATGTGCTTGTACCAGGTATGCATTTCCTGACAGCATCAGAAAAAGGCATCTTCAGCCTTGTCTGTGCATGGACTTCTGCAATCTGAAAAAACACATGCTTTCGCGCGCCAAACAGGCTCCACATAAATGCGCTCGACACAACACTTACCTGGAAACACCTGCTTGGCCACGCAGAAGGCTCTTGCGGAAGTGACAGGATTCTCTCAAGATAGTCCTGGACACTATGTCTTTCAATGGTTTTTCGCGCCGAGCAATGATTAAGCCAGCTGTGCTCTCACAGCCGATGCGATACGTATCCATATGCTATCACGTGTACTGTGGAGTTCCTCACACCTTGTCTGCAAGGCCTTGCATTTGCTTGCACATAGTTCCATGTGAACCTGATTCCGAGTTTGATGACTTAGACATCCCATCCGGGGCCTGGCAGCGCTTTCGATTAGGCTTTGGCTTGAACCCCCTCAAAAAAAGTGAAGACGAGTGAGAAATTAAACGCTTCAGCTGCGAAAGCAAATCCAGTCAGCGAACCTGCTTTCTTCTCGGCAGCAGCGTGAAGGCACACAGCGCGAGACGCTGACAATGCCACCAAAGCAACCCGCCTTGCCAGAATTGAACCGTGGGCTGGAGGACTGCTGGTGTTGTGAGTTCACGTTCCGTGCATGGAAGCGGTTGCTGCTCACTGCGGCTTGCGAACAGCTTTGCAAGGTGTTGGACTGTCTGCAAGCCAGGTTCTGTTGCAAGCTCTTGTGCAACAGGTATGGCTGTCCCATCTGTACCTAACCACAATCAACACAGGATGTGGCCCAGTTTGCACAAGCACAGAAAGATTGTCTTGAGTCTTGCATGGAAAGCGTCTTTGAAGCCAGTGAGGTCCGTGCTGTCCAGTTGCCCACTGACCAAATAGCCTGAGCAGAAATTGCACAGTGAAGAGGGCATGAAAATTCTCGGCGAAGCATGGCGCAGCATGGCGAAGCAGTAAAGACCTGTACCTGTCTTCTCTGAATCTCTGTACGCAATGAGCAAGCGCTCGCCCATTCCAACCTTGATCGGGGAGCAGGGAAGAGCTTCGATTGCTCTTTCATCGTTCTACGTGTCTGACCTTCGCACGCTCACGTCCAAGCAGCGAGAGTCAAATCGAAGGCTTGGGACTCTCCAGAGAAGAGCTGCCAGTCTCCCCAGAGGATCTCATTGTTCTTCATGCGCCCAATGCTCAGGAAGCCACCGTTTCCACGCTGCCTCAGTCTCGGTCTTTGAAAACAGGATGTCCAGGCCCGTATCGGTCCGTCCTAACATTTGCAGCCCAGAGTCTCATCTCGCACGGCTACCACCAAACCTGTTGAAACACGGCCACTCACATGGTTTCAACACATGAGACACTATCACTGGCACCCAGGGTGCAAGAAGCGCCTTGGGCTCGTCTCTTCTCTGCTTACCATCAATGCTGTCTACTAGATCGGCTCCAGCTCCTCATTTCCCTTCTACCCCATCTCAATGACCATCACCTTTCAGTAGTTTAAAATCCAGAAACATAGAAATAGCGCTGCGAACCGAAGTCCTGACAGCAAAACCAGACAGTGACGCGGCAAGTGGAGGCAAACCCTTAGGCACCCCGCAGCTGGCAAGGTAAGCATAATAGCTATTGGACCTTCGGTCTGATCTATAGTAACTCAAACCCATCTGTTGAGGGCTGTGTCTCTGCATGCAAACGTACTCCCCCTGATCCTTGCCGGCATGACTGTGGAGTTGTTAGACCAAGTTGGACCGTGTCTCATCTTGGTTCAACCGACGTGTTGCCGGCCGCCTCTGCTTCTTATGGCCTTATGGATTCGGGAAGTTAGTCCCAAAGAACGTGAAGATGAATGCAACAACCAGTGGTACACACTGCATGTTCTTGGGCTGTGGGGGTGCAGAGCAAGTAGATCACAGCATTAAAAATTGATGACGGAAACTATGTACGGCCAACCAACATAGCATGGCCCCTTTTCAAACACAGACCAAACATCGTGAGTGTAGCCAAGAAGCCGTTTCGACCGATTAACGACAAACCTTCAGCAACGTTCGGGCGTCGCAAGCTCCCTCCGTGACCATGGCAGCTACGTAACATCACAAGCCCCTGGCTGAGATCACGTGCCATCATCGGGTCCGGTTTCGTGCCGCTTGCAGAATATGGTGCAACAAGCCTCCGAGCTTTAGTCACGATCAGTCACGGAAGAGGGCAACTTGGCACTCAGCTGCTTGCATTCAAGATGCTGTGGAGAATAGACCGTTTCTGCGAGACATTTGGAAGGCCGGCATGTAAAGCCATCGCCGCTGAAGCACGGAACCTTGGCACAGAATTCGCTAACGAAACAGCAACTTGCTGAACAGAGTAAACATGACTTTCTCGAGCGGGTCGCGCATTCGCAGAATGCCCTGTCTTGCTCGGACCTTCTGCAGACTGGAATCCATGCCGACCCATAGCCACATTGCATGCAATCGTCTAGCAGAGCTTGGTCTGCCAAGATGCACCCTCACTCAGCTTCTGGCTTGCATACTGCATGGTGCCCACAAGTCAAAAAATCACAGCTCGGTGCACCACCTGTTCGCAACGGGACAGGGGCCAGCACGACATGCATGCTGTTCGGAATCAGACCTGTCGAGCCCGATGCTGCTCGGACAGTGTGGTAGTACTGCATCGCTTCCAAAGCAGCTGCCTCTGCCTCCATCCTGTCATCTACTGGGCATTTTCTGACCCTTTGCCAAACGTCTGCAACTTGTCAAAGCCGGTCCTTTCCATCTCAGTGCTCTGCACCGCTCTCTGCAGGATCTTCGAATCTGGTGCGTCCTCAGACGCATCCGAATAAAAAGAAGTTCCTGAAAGAAGACTCGCTGCCGAGACCGAGATTCGCCCAAAGTTGCCATCGTTCCCCGGAGTCTTTTCAACTCGCTGTTGAAGTGCTCGTGTGTGACATAGCTCTGCTTCTTGATAAAGACCTGGGAAGACAGCACAAATCCCTGGCCAAATCTCCCCTCACACAGGCTTGGCATCCATCCTGCAGCTTGTCCAGCATCTCGGCGACATAGTTTACGTCAAGGTCCTACACTTGGCCGCTTGGCAAGAACACTCTGCACGGCAAGCCGCCGGCTAGCCATGCTTCCAGTTCCCAAATATGTCCTGGGGCCCTGCGCGGACATCATTGGCATCCAGTGCACCAGCGTTTGGTGCTAAGACCACCAGCCACATTACCTGCATCCGTAAAGCCGAGACACCAGAGAAAACCGGCCAAGCTCCAAGAACTGGTCACTACAGCAAGGAGAGCAAAAGCAACGGAAAGCAGCAGCTTGCAGCCGTCAGCACACAATGCAGCAACGGCAACAAAACAAACAAAGCGACAGAGATGAAAACAGCAGCAAGAACATCAACAATAACAGGAAGAGCAGCCAAACCTACAGTAACTCGGGAAGCAACATAGGCCGAAGGAAGATAGGCAAAACACCTGCAAATGGAGATTCGGCGATCAGAAATTATCACCGAAATCACAAAACTGCAAGGGAGACTGGGCCTGAAAGCATGATGCAACGTGCTTGAACACATTGCCAGCCATCAGGGGCGGATCGCAGGCCACCTGTGCGAGAGTCACAGAAATGATTTCCCAATAAATGATCATTGCATGTGCTAGATTGCAAACCACACGAAGCATTTGAAGCTGTGCTGACATCAGGTCAGGTGAGCCTGTCGAGCACCGCCAATACCGCGTCCCCGGCGTGGCGGTACAAGGGCAGGCAAACGCCTAGAAGGGCCCTTATGGCCTTAGGGGATTGAACAGCGGCGGTGCACAAATCCGGTACGCGCCTCGAACATGAAAACCATGAAAGCTGAATGCACTTCTAGCATTTTTCCATCAAAATATATAACTTCGCACTGGCAGACACCAACGAGGCATTCTGAGAAAGTCACTTGGCCCTTGGACTTTTTCGAGAGGATAATTTTCGTGTGGAAAAGACGAGTGCAGAACTTCATTGTGAAGCATCTTGTCGAATCAGGACCCAGAGGAGTTCCAAACCCGGACCAAGAGTCCAGAACCCGAATTCATGATTCCGATCCAGAGTTCGAACATAAAGTCAACTTCCAACTCTTGCGTTCTTTTCGGAGCTTAAAGCCAAAACACGTTTTCGTGGCTTTTTTGCTGTCTGTCGAAAAGCACATGTGGCAGGGAGGGGCATTCTGGGTTGGGAACGAGCCCAATATCCTGGAGAGAGTTTGGGTTGGGTTTAATCGAACTAGATTCTGGATGAATCTGGATTGAACCCAGCTTGTTAGCTCTGTTTTTTGGGCCAGTACGAGCAACAACTTTTGATGGATTTCTGTCATCAATTTTCTTTACCCTCCAAAAAGAACATTTTTTGCAAAGATGTTTGGATCTGACACGGAAAGTTCCGAAAAGCCACTTGAAGTTCGTATGGCAGCCCTCTTGTAATCCTTGTAGTCCCTTGAAGGCCCTTGCAGCCCTTGAAGCCTTTATTTAAAGCCTTCTTGAAGCCTACAGCCCCGAGAAACTTGTCTTCGAACCGGGTTCGGGCTTTCTCCTCACCCTCTGGCGCTTTCATATGGCTGCTTTCTTCTTTCCCCTGGCCGCGGCGAGGGAGTGCGAAGCACTCTCTTCTTTGTGCAAGACAGCAGCGGGCGGTCGGGGTTATGGTCTGTGATTTGGGTTTAGGGACACTGCACACTTAATGGCAACGCTACAGTAGCATCCTCCTGCAGACCGCACACTTAATGGCAATTCTACAGTAGCGTCCTCGTAGCGACCCCCGAAAACACATCTGATGCTTGACTTTGCTGCGGAAGCTTCAAAAACGCTCACTTTGTCATTGAGCTGCTTCTTCCCCCTACAGCATGGTTGCACTGGAAAAGGTACTACACGCCACACGCTCTGGTGGTTTTCATGTGATCCGCACAGGTTTTTCGATCTTTTGATTAGCGAAATTAGGAACTACACGCTCCGCGCTATGGAAAAAATACGATTTTTGCGTGTGCCAGACACATGGTGTAGTACCCTAGTACCCTACTACGCGCCGCGCTGTGGGAAAACTCACAATTTGGCTACCGATTGCTTGTTCTATTGGCATGAACAGTTATTGTTGCACCGCTTACAAAACAAACCTTCGCAAACGAATAAACAGCGATCCCATGTTTCCAGGATGAAAATTGTAGGATGGGTAAAGTCTCAAAGCCCTTCAGAGAAACTGCAGAAGCCTCAAAGCCCTAGAGACTCGCGTGTCAGGTTTAAGGCACGTTTGAAACGGGACGCCTTGGACTCCACGGCTTGCACCAGGGAGTTGATGGCTTGCTAGGATTTTAGGGGGTGCGGGTGGCGACAACCCATAAAACGTATTTGCAAGAACATCTGTTTCGTGGGCACTGCACATTGGATTCTGGTGGTCTTCGGTCCGGCCGCGTGCCTTCTGAGACCATCAAGAACATGAAAGCTCCCTGCGTAGTCGCACTGGAAACATGGACGAAGTTTTGGTAGGCATTTTCCAGGATTTTCGCGCAATCTTCGCGGCAGTTTGGCATTGCATCGACCACGATTAAAACGCACGAATTCTCGGAAAATTGTTTTCTAGACCTTTCGGGCGCATTCTGCTTTTTCTAGTGCATTTTCCAGGATTTTGGCGCCATCTTCGCGGCAATTTGGCATTGTATGGACCACGAATAAAACGTCCTCCTGGCGTCCTCGTAGCAAGCGTGGGATTTTGCATCAGAGACAAGGACGTCCTCGTAAAAATTTTTACATTTCTACAGACAGACAACAACCAACAACCAACAACCAGCAACCAACCACCAACCACCAACCACCAACCGCCAACCGCAAAAAAGGCGGACCACCTTCGAAGGCTTTGAGCAAGAACTGGGGGGGCACTTGCAGGGCTGCCGATTTCGCATTGGTTTTACGACTCGCAAAGTAGGACCGCGGAACCACCTGTTTTGTCAGCGCATGCTGCTGTACACACTGTTTCAACCTTCTCACCTTAGTATTGTATGGCTGAAACGGGACGTTCCGGAATCCGCCAAAAGTATAAAAGCACCTGCATTTTCGAGGTGTCGTCATTCTGAAAGTCTTCTTGCTGGAACTTTGGAACGGCTGTACCTAATTTCGCTAATTCTTTGTCAAAAGATAGAAAAACCTGTGCAAATTACATGAAAACCACCAGAATGTGTAGCATGTCGTACCTTCCGGTGCAACAATAATTCTTAGAACAGCAGCGCGCGCTGACAAAACACGTGGTCCGCGGTCCTACTTTGCGAGTCGCAAAACCAATGCGAAATCGGTAGCTCTGCCCCTCAGTTCCAACTCAATGTGCCCATTCACTCTTCTTGAGCAGTTCAGTTTGTTAGCGTTCCCGCAACAACACCACCGCAGCTTGTCACCGTACATGAAATTCCGGCACCGATAGGGGCTACATGCCGCAAGCTTTTCAAAAAAACGACACCTGTTTAATTTTGATACTTGTTAACTAGGCCTAATTCTGGGTCCACCAGACGGCACCCAAAATGGGTTTCTTCCTTGTGCTGGTCAGTATGCAGCGCCCATTTTTTGGGGCCGTCTGGTGGACCCAGAATTAGGCCTAGTTAACAGCATCAAAATTAAACAGGTGTTGTTTTCAACAAACTACTGCTCAAAAAGAGTGAATGGGCATTCGCACAGGTTTTTGGATGTTTTGATTAGCGAAATTAGGAACGACGCTCCGCGCTGTGGAAAAAAAACGATTTTTGCGTGTGCCAGAAACATGGTGTAGTATCTACACGCGCCGCGCTGTGGGAAACTCACAATTTGGCTACCGATTGCTTGTTCTATTGGAGTCACAAACAGTTATTGTTGCACCAATTTCAAAATAAACCTTCCAAACAAACAGCAATCCCATGTTTCCAGGATGAAAATTGTAGGATGGCTGAAGTCTCAAAGCCTTTCAAAAAGAGAAACTGCAGAAGTCTCAAAGCCCCAGAGACTCGCGTGTCAGGTTTCAGACACAAGGTGAGAAGGTTGAAACAGTGTGTACAGCAGCATGCGCTGACAAAACACATGGTTCCGCGGTCCTACTTTGCCGAGTCGTAATCTCCGGCCGCGTGCCTTCTGAGTCAGTCAAGAACATGAAAGCTTTCCTTCGTCGCACTAGAAACATGGACGAAGTTTTGGTAGGCATTTTCCAGGATTTTCGCGCAATCTTCTTTTCAGTGTCAGGTTTCCGTTCAGATTTCATTTTTGGACCTTTCGCAGTTGGCCAGTTTTGTGTCGTGTCCTTTGGATTTGTTGCGGTTTTTTTCCTGTCTACGTGCTCTGGAAACCACAGATGGACAACTGAGAGAGCAGACAATGAGACTGCGAAACGGCAGGTGTGGAGCATTGTGTGTCAACAAATTAAGTTTCCATTTTTGAGGCAATTGAATCTGTGCGAAGCACGCAGAACTGACAAACTCATGTGAAAAAAGCGGAAACTTCGGAAAAGGCAAAACCACAGAAACTGCAAACCATCAGCAGAAAAAACTAGAATCGTACCCTGGAACGGATGGAAAAAACAATTTCAAAAACACTCAAAGAAGTGGGAAACCACATGCTGCAAAAAAGAAACGTAAGAAGATTTTCGCAAAAACTTAAAATTTTCCTGCAAGAAAATCTTTTTCTGTGATGTCCAGAAACGTGGAAAATAATACTTTCCACTCTATTGCATTTCTTCCGCACATTTGGCGGCGGACGTGAACTCAAAATCACAACTGAGCTTTTTTGCATTTCCGACCACGTCTCTATGTTTTCCAACCACGACGGTTTTTTGGGTGCAGGCAATGTGTACGAATCTCGACTACCACAAGTTTCCGGTGCAATCTTGTTTGAGAATGCAAAGGTTCTCAGCACCTTCTTGGAGCATATCTCCCCACTGGCAGGGTTGAGGGTTGGAGTTGCACAAAGTTGTCACTATTTGACGGCTAGTAACTACTGTGGAGGCCCTTTGTCCGCGGCAAGGTTTTCGAGCACTTTTCAACCCCCCAAAACCGGCCCTGCATTTGGGTGGTTGTTGCCACCTTGAGCTGATCCACATCTCAAACTTTTCGACATTGGCAAGCTGTTCCTAAACTTCCAACCGTTACAC